TAAGTTTCCGAAAAATTGGCGAAAGTCAACCACCGAAGAAAGATTGTTTTTCACCACAAGAATGCGAGCTCACACACAGTAACTCACAGAATAATCGTCTTGAGCGCTAACAGCGCGGGATTGATGGGCTATCCCAGCCGATTTCAAATCTCTATTTTGCATCCAATTACTTATGTATTTATTTACTCAAAATCTTCGAAACCTATCAACTCAAGAGGGGCAAACTAGTTAAAAAAAATGGGCTGAAACGAATAAAAAACTGTACTGATTATGTTGATCACCAAGTTAGGAATGGAGATATACTTACATTCTCTTGGGAAACTCGTTGAAAACTTTCTATACCAAGGGCTGCAAGACAAATACTAGGAATGGAGCTGGATGGCTTCTGGAGGAAAGTTTCCTACGATTTCCTGCTGGAGGTTTAATGACAATGGTTTTTTGGAAGTCTTTGCAATATTTAAAGCGGAAACCTGCATAATTGACGAAAGCTGGCGCGGACAACAAATCATGGTCTGCAGTGACATCCCAGCTACTCTAAACAACACAAAGTATTTTCTAAAAACACCGGACGGGTACGTGGCGAAATACCATCGCAGACAGAGAAGGAATGAGCTATGAGACCGAGAAGGTCTGTTTATGATACACAGCTCATGGGGACAACATTTTGTTTGGAGGATAGATGTCAGATTGAGATGGTAAAATACCTCCCACCTATTTTCTTTATCTTTTTTTCTAAGCCTTAAGTATAATTATGCCAGAGTGTTTGGCAAATCATGTGGACTTTCTCTTTGTTGGGCGCAAGAGATTTGAAAAAATTTGAATTGAAAAGTTAATACTCAGTTTCTTGATCAACAGCTGAGCTAAGTTAAGAAGCCTAAGGAGATTTGGAACATTACTAAGGTGATGTTACCTTAGGTAATTAATTGGTTTGTTTAAAAATTTGTTTCGCGTACAAGGTCTATGCAAATACAGGCAAGTTCAGTAGGAGAAATGACAAAACTAAATAATGTAGAGCAGCTAGTATAATTACATTGATTGATGTGCAACACGATGCTCCGTTGTCACCCGTTTTCCCTCGGCGCGTGGTACAAATGAGTAAATAAATGAAAATAAGTACAGAAATTGATGGGGATAAGTGTGCATTACATTGGCATTAACTAGTTAAGTAACAAGAAAATCGTTCCCCACTGCTACAAAGATAAACACAAAAATGAGCAAGTAAACAAAAATTAATTTATCTAATTTATTAGGCTTTGGGAATTGAAAAGCAACTAGAGTAGAAAGCAAACAGTAGGCGGTCGGCATTCTACGGCGTGGAAAGGTATTTTGATGAAAACGAAAGAAAGTATTTAGAATACATACAAACGCAAACTGTGCCAGTCTATCACTCGGCATTGAGAGGTGCTGGCAACGGAAGTGACAGGCGGCACACAATCGTTGAGCCACGAAAAAAACGCGCAGTGTCACGGTTTTAAAAAAGGCACGCGCGTCGGAATGTTACATACATACATAAGTATGTAAATATACAGGGTGATTCAATCAGCTAGCAGATTTTCTTTTGTAAATAAAATTCTACAAAATTTGTAGAAACTATATTTTTTTGCATCACGTTTTTTTTTTAGCCTATGGCATTTATGAATGCAAGACAATATGCGTTAAATGCGCACCACGACTCCTCTGGCAGGGACAAGATGCGAATATCAAAATTTTCCCAAAAACGTTTAAGAGATTTTACCGCCCAAAACAGTGTTAGATAGCCGAAACAATAGCCATTGGTCGGGTAAAAACCGAGTCATTCCGGTACGTTGAACCGGCTAACGTGGGAATAGGTTGAGTGGTTCATAAAAAAACCATTGCACCCGAGAGCGTACTAACAGGCCATAAAAGACATTTACAGAGCGACTGTCTCAACTTACACCCACTCTCGACCTGTAATTTCCGTTTTAAGAAGACAACCAGCCGATGTGGACGAGACAGAACTTCGTTTGCTTCGGCAGACCGACCCGCATCACCCTAGCGCAAATCCGCGCTCTGGATATTGCAGTAGGTGAAATTTGAAATTTGAGTAAAATAAAATCAGCTGTGCCCAACGTATGTTCGGCATGCGCACAGTTACCCCATGACTCGATACACCTTCTCTCCCTCTGGTCCAACCCAGTCGGACTGGCATACTTCAAGGGCCTCCTATTGGTTCAGCTTGCCGACAATGACTAAGAGGCAAGCCGATCTAGGCACGGCTAATTAAGTTCATATGCATATAACGCGTAACCAAGTTTCTTCGAACTTCTGCACCAAATAGCTAATTATGTTGAACGAAAAAATTATGAAACGAAAATTTTCATGAGACGTTTAGATCACTTTTACGCGTTGTTCAACAAAATATCGCACCATGACTATGTTTCTCAAAGCCTGTAGTACCAATTATCTGTAAAAGAAATTGCTTATCCCAAAAATTTGCTGTCAGAGATCTGCAACACACTTGAACCACCCTATACATAAGCGGCGACGGATGAAAGCAGCTGTAGTGAACTCGGACAATAGTGGAGCATTTTTTTAGACTTTAAAGTAAATGGAAATCTGTGTCGTGGCAGTGTTCACACCTCCAATTTTACTAAAATTCGTGTTGTTATTAGTTGGCTGGTGAGCAAGTTAGGTGGCCGCTATCAGCTTGCTTTGTCCCCACTTATTTATTATGTACACACACTCACCATTCGCCATTTGCCAGGTAAGTCGCTACACAAACGTTGACCGGCCAGCAATAAATTTTCGAGAATACACCGTGTCGACAAACCAGCGCGGCGCTAGACAGTTGCAAAAACAATTTATAGATATTTAACAAAAAGATTAAGGTAAGTCGATGTATTGGGATTTCTTTTCGCTTTATAAGGTCGCTTTGAATTCCTCCACTTAGTCATCCGCAATGCCTTTGCATCCTACTGCACACATACCGACATTCATGTTTGTTTTTGTTTATTTTTGTAGGTTTTGCTGGTGTTAGAAAGCTGATAAGCTCGCTTTTGTTGGCATAAGCGCACCAAGTCGGCGCGTACTTGGCCTTCATTTGCTTTGATCGCTCAAGCGTAGGAATGTAATAGTCCGCTATTTTAGTCAGCATCTGACGTGTATTGCATTAAATTTTATAGTTTCTTCATTTCCAGCTGCGCATTGAAAGAATTGAAAGCAAATGTAAAATCATCTAAAAATTTTCCGTAGCCTACCTATGCATGTATGCATGTATGCATGTATGTATGTTCTACTGTGCTGCTAACTTCAAAGGCTACCAAATATTCCGTGCTCTCTAATTTTCAGCTTGAAAAGAACGAATGAATAAAGTAAGAAAAAAGAAAGAAAAATAAATTGGTTTTACGTTGCCAATTTAAAAATAAACTTCCATTTGGGATTTGCTTGTTTTTTTAGTCGCCAGAAGAAGGCACGGATAATGTGCGATTTGATAAAATGAATTTTTTTATTTTATCTCTGGTTGAAAGTAGACAAATAATTTTGGAAGACTGCTTCTAATTTGGCAAACATTCTGAATAAATGTTGGCAAAAAAAATAATATTTGTATTCAACTATCTGCATGGTATACACACACACACACATCGCATTACATTTTTAACAGTTTGTTTCTTTAATGTTTATTCAACTTTTAATACAGTCTAGTTAATTGTATAATAGCTAAAAATCCACAATTCAATTCAAACATTGTAGAAATATTCAAAAAAATTGCAAAACAACAACAAACTTTTTAATCCACTAATTTCTAATATAATAAAGTGGCAGTCTCAGGAGAATTCTAATTGTTTTTAGCAATTTTTTCTGTCTTAAAAAAAAAAATTTGTCGAACATAGTAACTACGTATAGAAGAAAATGCATTAGACCATTTTCAAACACAAAAAATTGCCATATATCAACAGTAATTTATAAACACTTCAAACTAGCAAATTGTCGTTGGCCCACTTTGCTGAATTTTTCTATTTTTTGTACCAAGTTCAAAATTTTGGATTTATATGGCTTTTCTTAGACCGTATCATTTTGTCGCGGGTGTACAGCAGGTACACATAGTACCGGAAGTTGCCTAATTTTATTGAAAAACTGTTTAAAAAATAACTAATATTCGTACCCTCAGAAAAAAGCATTTCCTTAAAACAACAACAGTATCCTTATTTTAGAGTTGCTGTTTTTTCCATAATATTACGACAAATTTACTCAATTTGAGAAGCTTTTCATTCCTCATTAATTTGAGGAAGTAAATTTACTCAACATAGGTAATAAGTTCCTCAATATAAGTAATAATTTTTTTTTAAACAATTTTGAATTTTGTCAGTGCTGTTAAGACAAAGTTAATTGCTTTCCTGGCAAATGTCAGCTGCGGCGTCGCGAGAAGACTACTGCTTCTGGTTCTGAGACCGCAGGCTCGAGTCCGGTTGCAGGTAGGTAAGTCAATTATTGCAATTTAAATATAAATTACAAATTGTAAAACTAATTTCAGATATGGAAAAACTTAAATACTTAAATAACACAAAAAATAAATTAGATAATTTTTTTAAATACAATTTAAAAAATTACAATTAAAAAAGTATATAAAATAAAAAAAAAATATCTAAAATAAAATTTCCTGCTCTGAGACTCGAACCTTGCACCTCTCGACTGTCACTCCAGAGCTTTGCTCTGTTGGCCATTGCCACTGTTTGAGCGGCATGAGCAAAATGACATACTTATTCCTTTCACCGGGGGATGAAATGGCAAGAAAAACTAAGGAATTTTTGTTTGAAAATTTGGTGAAAATTTGTGGAATTTTTACAACTTTTGTTCAAAGTTTGAAAAGCGGATTTATATAATGTTTGTTGTATAACTACCTAGGCTTTTATAAAAAAGTATTAAACATAAAATAAAAAAAAAGAAATATAGCCAAAATTCTTGATGAAAGTACGACGAGTCTATTTACTCTGCCGCCAGTGTACATATAAATAATTTTATACGAAATTTACAGTACTCACCTGTCGGACTCGGCGTCAGCGACATCATGTCGAAATGTATGTTGCGAGGCTCAAATGAATAGTCCTTCAGGAATGTCAGCTTGGCACCGCGTGTCTTTGCCAGCCCCTGTACGGCGGTGTTAATGGCGCGTAAATATTCACGTTTGCCAAAGTTTGTGTGCGGTGCAATTAGGCCAATATTTAATTGCTCCTTATTAGCGGATAAAGTTTTAGTGTTACCATTTGTGAGACGTAATGCTGACGCGCATGGGCATGAATACATTAAAATCGAGGCCAACACAATGACGGCAATGCCGAAATGGAAATTTAAGCGAGAAGACAATGTACGCCATATCAGAGTTGGCCAAGATGCCGTTGTGGCGGCTGGTAGTAGCTGGAGTGGGCGGTGGCTTGACGCGAATCGAGGTGGCGGGGACAGCGAAAGTGGCTGGCACTGAAGTTGCTGGTGTTGATGTGCAAAGCAATGATTTTGAACACTTTTCAGTTGGTTTTGCTGCTGCTGCTGCTGCTGGTGGTGTAGCTGCTCTTCCACTTCAACTACATCTATGCTGCGTATTCGCTGCGAAGCTATTTGAATAGTCGTTGTTTTAAAAATCGGCGGCATGTACGGTGGCATTTTAAGCGTCAGCTGGCCTGGGGCGAGGCATTGTTGGTGGTGGTGGTGTTGGTTGTGATGCTGCTGGTTGAAGGTGGGTACTAAATTGCTGCCAAAGCTGCTGCTGCGCCTGCTGTTGGTGTTGGCAATGCCATTGCAGCTGTTGCTGTTGAAGCATATTAATGGCGCTGCCAGTTGTGCGTTGTTACTGTTACTGTTATGTTCTTGAGTTTTTGTTGCTGTTGTTGCTATGCATATTCTCGCCATGGTTTTTGTTTTCACGCGGCGCCTGGCCAATGCTATGCTGCCCGTTGGCGTTTGGCTGCTTTTAACATTTTTTCGCCGTCGTCGCTTGTTTGCTTTTTGACTAAAAATTAATCCCTTCATTTTGCGGATCGTATGACTACTTCCGCTGGCGCGCTGTCAATCAGCGCCCGCGCCCGCTTCCGCTACTCTTTTTTTTAGTGCTTCAATCCTTTCAATGCCGCCTGTTTGTGCAGATTGAGTGTGATTGGGGTGGCCGCAATATGCTGCTTGCCTGCCTGATGCGTTCACTTTTCCAATGATTTTTGGTTTTTTGTTGTTTGTGTTATTTTTATGGTTTATTTGGAATTTCGCTTGCTTTCGTGCCACTCACTGCACACCCATACATAGCATACATATCTGTGTATCCAGCATCTGCTTATCGCCTTACTTTGACATATTCCTCTTTGGTGTCACTTTGTTGTTTTTTAGTCTTTTATCTTTGCTTCCTGGCCTTAATAGCTTGTTTTTTGCAATTCGCCCTCACTTGCCACATTACGCTTCAGCTTCTCTAAGTTTTGTATTTTTTAAATATTTTCCTTTTTCTAATGGATGGATTGGGTTAATCTAAGCAAATTATCCGCATATCTTCGCTTTGAGCACCTTTGCTTTGAAAATTTCCTAATTTGTTTACTTTTTTGGGTTTAACTTTTTTATCGCCTCTCTAACTGTTCCACTTTCTAGTCAGCGCTTTAATTTGTTTACTCGCTTAGATTCTTTATACCTCCCGAAATGCGATCACTACATTTTGCTTCCCCGGCTTTGTCCAACGCCTTAGCCATCACACTTCCTTCCGCTTTCTTTCCATCACCTCCTCGAATTCTAAGTTTTAAGCGCTTCGGCTGCTGCAGCCGTTGCTAGTGGATTCTATGCCTCCTCCATTGACGTTGCTGGCTGCTTTTACTGCCTCTACCATCGCATAATCCGAGTATACTATTACATTTACTCTCCTCCAACTTTTCTACTCTGCGAGGCACTTCCGTTGTTTTTGCTTTATCTCTGCGGTTGCTCTGAGTTGCGAGCTAGCTCGTCGGTTTCTGGTTCACTCGTTTGTTGGTGTCTTTGTTATTATTTTTCCTTTATTTAATGGTGGGTTCTAGTTGCTGTTTTAATGTTCTTTATTATTGTTGTCATCGCTGCTATCATTGAGCTTGATTTTGTAATAACTCTGGGGTAATACTTATGCGTACGTACATACATACATAGGCATACAAGTATGTGAGAGTATTAACTTCGCTGTTTTTCGCATTTTGGGTGGGGCTGCAAAGAAACAAAAACAAATAAGATGATGTCAATGACAAAAGTGATAATACATAATAATTGCAGATGTATGTATGTATGAAGTTATGTGCTTGCACGATTCGTATCTACTTTTCCATATGTACATATGTATGTATTTATCTGTATCCATGTTTTGTTTTCGTTTTTTTTTTTTTCTTTCGGGCAGGAAACGCAGTACGAATCTGTACGGAAACGGATGCTGCAATGTGTCGCACTGGATAATGAAACTGAAAATTATCTCTTTAATGATTATGACTAGTGCATGTTGTGTTGAGTGGGATTAGCTGGTGTTTGAGTGAAGTTCACAATCGCTCAAATCCTGTCAGAAACAGAACTTCCGTTTTAAATTATGTATTTCAATTTTCCGCTTTTTAAATTCTTTAACTAGATGTGTACGTGAAATACATTCCCTCTAGGAAATGGAACTAGGTTGTAGCTAACTTTAACTAGATCCCTGCTGAAGTTCGGCAAAAAAACAAAACCGAAATTGTCTTCGAATGGAAATACTCCCTTTGCAAGAGTTTAATAATTACTGGCAGGCTTTAATTTACTGACGTTAGTGTGGTACGTTAGGGTGGTAAGAACTGAGATCTGGCGAGTAGACAACAAAAAAAGTGTATCCCCGAGACAAGAAGAGCGATATATCACACTTTAAATCCGACTGTAAATACCGCAGATAGGACGAAAAATGTAAAACCCAATCTTACGTACGGCAAAAAAAAATAAAAAATTTAATTACCTTGAAAATATGTACACTCAGGGTGTGCGGCGAATCTTTTTTGCTGCTGTAAATCGCATGGTATATACGGATTCTACAGATAATTCTAAGCAAACGTGTGGAAGAAACCATGCCTGCGCATTTTCAAATGAAAATATTATCTTTTGACGAAATTAATTTTCTTTTGATTCCTTATCGGTTTTATGCACAATTTATTCACATTTCCTTACAAACTTTCTATAAAAAAAATTTCTATATTTTTGTTTCTGGCATTTGTTTTATTTGTTTACTTATCCATTAGTATTTTTCGCAAATACATATATTCATACTTTCCGATTTTCCCGTTTAAAATTCTGTTTGCTGTCAATGCGAGATAGTTTTGCTCTACAAAAAGGTGTTGCAAAAATTTACCAAAAATCAACGGCAAGTCCTAGGTACTTGCACTTCATTTTACTAAAATTGAATGGACCACAAAGCTGTACACTCAAAATCTATGAAATCCAACCAAAAATTTTGAAATTTCCTAAGTTTTCTTTTAATATTGCACAAAGTTTGAAATTTGGATTTATATGGTTTTTGTTAAAGAATAAACTAAATATATCTTTATAAAAAAAATAACTAAAATTAAATAACAAAAAAATGAAATGTGAAAACTTGTCAATATGCGGTGCGCTTTTGGGTGTATTTTTGCATGGTAAATATCGAGCCCTAACCGCCAAAATAACGTAAGCGACATTTTTTTCGAAATTTTCTTTTTGATGCAGAAATATTCCTAAAGCATCTAGATGCATTTCTGCATCAAAATGAAAATTTTGAAAAAAATGTCGCTTACGTTATTTTGGCGGTTAGGGCTCGATATGGTAAAGCAATTAAAAATGTTATAATCTAAAATATAGGAATTTTGTATCACCTAGTTGTATCAAAAGATGAACACTTTGTAAAACTGACATAGAATGAAAAAAATAAAATTTGATAAAGAAGGTAAATTTTTCATTTAAAAATGCGCAGGCTAGAAAATAATTCCCGACTTATATGTAGTTTCTTCTACATTTTCTCTTAGAATTATCTATAGCAACCGAAAATACCATGCGATTTGTCGAAAAACTTTTGCCCGAACAATTTGACCCACCCTAATAAGCATGTATAAAGCGACACGCGACATATTATCTTCCTAGGATTTATCTTTACAAAAATGCATGCATAACTTTGTGCTATAACCAAAAATTCCCATTGGGGTTGTACAGGAAAGCAGATATTTATGTACATATGTATTACAACGACCATACAGACTGCAGCTGGAGTGTGATTTTGCTAAAACTGCAATAAAATGAGTTCATTTGTCATTAGAAAGTTTCGAGTGCAACACAAAATGACACATCGATTTTCGTTGATTAATTTGCTGCTGAAAGGACAGCCCACCCAGCGGTGTTGTATGTCTGTTGGGTGAGAATTATTTGAACATGATTAACTTGTTTGCTGTAATTTTTATTTGTATGGATGGTAAATCGATTTCTTTAATAACCTTGTGGTTGTATGTTCTCAATAATTAAGAAATGTTTTGAAATAAAGTACTAATTTTCAGACGTGACAGCTCTCCGGAATTTCATTTGCTTATTTCCAATAATTTTCATTTAAATATGGGTCGATCTATATCAGATAACACATAAATAAAAGTTTCAGAGCTTATTCGAATTTCAAAAAAATTCATCAAACTTAAAAAAGTTTTCAATAAAATTTCAAACCTTTTAATCAGAATCTTTATAAAATTTTCGGGTATGCTGTTTGGTAGAACATTCAATTTTAGTATGATAAAGTGTAAGCTTCAAGTCGATAATAATTACCGTTGTTGACTTTTTAGAATTTTTATTTTGTGGTGGGTGTTGTGCATTTTCTTCCTTAAAACGCATGAATAAAACTTACTTTTACTTTTTTAAACATTATGATTAAAAAGATTGAAATTTTGATGACAACTTTTTTAAGTTTGATTACTTTTTTTTTGAAATTTGTGTAAACTTTGACACTAAATAAAGATAAGTTGCCAACAGCATCATTTTGAATTTTGCTGCTATTATTTTGCATGACACTGTACATATTTTATATAAGCAAATTTTACTAAAAACCAATTTTTTTCTAAAAAGTCATTGTAAATATCAATTAAGAGTAGAGTAGTTTTAAAGATTTATTTAAACGCCTGAAAATCCATATAAAAAATAAAGGCGATATTTAAGAGAAAATTTAATTACTTTAAAAATTACTTTAAAATTTAGCGGACTTTGTTCTGAGTGTGTATGTGTTTACTACACTATTTATTTAAGGTCTCTGCTGACAAACTTTGTTTAACAATTTTATGATTTTTTGCTTTTGCATCTTCCTGTTGTCATACGAATGGTTTCCGGGGGTTTTTTTTTTGGTTTGTTATTAGTATTTCTACAACTCTGGTGAGTTTTACTAACTACCGTTCACAGTAACTGCTGTTTGCGTTTCTGTTATTCTAGTTTTAATACATCTTGTTGCAAGCTTTTCTTCTACCCTCTCCCACCCGTTGGTTCTGTTAATTCAACTACACCGTTCTACATACATACATCCTTTTCCTGGTACGCCTTGTTGTATGTACTGGCAAAGCTGAAATAACAATAACAATATGACTGATGGTAATATGACAACACTAGCAGCGGCAGCGACAACGCGCACGATGACAACCAAGAAAATGGCGATGACACTGCAACTCAAAACAGAAGAAGTGCTGAAACAAACAACATAGTAGAACAACAACAACATGATGTTGCCTCAGGCTGACGCCAGAAACATTTCCACTTTAAGCATCGTACGAGTACTACTTTTGCAACTGCGTTCCGCTGCTGCTGCAGCTGATTCTACTGTTGTTGGTGTTTTGCCACAGCTATGCCATGACAAATTGCGCGCTCGAGTTTTTTTTTTGTTTTTGTTATACAAAAGTACTTATTAAGTTTCTGCGTTGAGGAGATGATAGTAAAAGCATCAGCAGTATGTACGAGTATGTATGTAACTCCTGCAACAGCACTTGCTCCAAATTCAACTTGGAAGGACTTTTTACTAGGCGCTGCTGGCTATACAGCTGGTCCACTAGCTCCACTTTTTTTTATCAGAGTAGCTAGTGTTTATCAACGCTCTTAACTGCGTCTTGGTTTACTTTGCTGCTGTGTATTTTTTGTAAGTTCAGTATACAGTTTACCGTTTTTAGTTTTATTTAAGTTTTTGACAGCATCAGTCGAGTGGCATATGGAATTAGTGGAGTGTGCAAAGAGATGCAGGCAGACTAAATACACGTTTGAACGGTACCGTCACAGCATTTAATAAAAACAGTGATGCATTTGTTGTTTATAAAGCGAGGTGAAAATATAGGGATGAAAGAAGCTTAAGTGTTTATATGGCTAGAGAGATTTTAAGTAGCGCCTTCAAAATTTAAGTATCTAATGACTTACAAACATATACATTTTAACAAGTGCCCGTAACGGTTAGGATCTTTATAATAAAAATTACAATTTAACCGTTAAAATTGGATTTCTATTTTTCCGATCACCGATTTACGGTTATCTAAGAGTTTTGTTTTTTGATCACAAACGATTTAAATCGGTCATAAAAACATAGTCTCCATTATAGCGGCTAAAAATTGTGGAAAATAATTAAGTCCAAAAAAAACGATTATCTATTTTTCATCGAAAAAGTAAGCCACAAAATAACAATTAAATTTAATAATGGGCGAAATTGGACAATAACCATGCCCACCTCTCTGGATCGAAATTGCTGGAAAGTAGAATTTTGGCATGAAATAAGACAACTAAGAAATTTCTGAAGAATCCCCGGAACACAGTGGCCGCTGCACCAACCTTATCTAACACGGTACGAACATTGATTAGAATGAAAATAAAAAACCTATTGGGTGAGAATTTTCGAAATCGGACATTATAAGATATAAATACGAAAACTGCGATAAATCAGTAATATACGAAGCTTCTTCGCCCAAAATCGCAGCAAATAAGATTTGATTTTGTTTTTTGTTGACTTTGGTTTAGTTATTTCGACAGGTTGAGAATTGAGATATTTCTCTTATCGCTTGTAACATCCAAGAAGGAAAAATTATATTAAAAAAGGCACTTGACAAGGGCTGACGGAAATTTGTTCCAAAATGCATTAAATATTTTTTTAAATTTGTTTGTTTATGATCATACATACTTTTGTTCTTGAGTTCAAATTTCG